TGCCTCATTGTTCATTCTTGAAGTAAACTTGTGTCCGTTTGGTGATTAAATAAACTGTTTTAGACCGCTGCTCGAGTTGAACGCGATGCGGCCGGAGTGTGTGTGATACCGGTGAGTTCCCCTAGACTCAGCTCTGCGCTTTTATTTTGATTAGTAGTATGGTTCAGTACTGTTTTTTTAATAAAGCACTATTTTAGTTTTTGTTCAATATCCATTAAAAAAAAAAATCGGTTAATTAATCGGTATCGGCCAGTGTGGTCCATCCTAGCTATCGGTATTGGCAAAATCCACTATCGGTCGACCTCTAGTCTTGTTAGATCTCATGTGTTTCCTGGTGTCTCCCCATCTGTCTGATCTGTTTGTAGCTGGCAGCCCATCATGAAGTTCATTAATGCACAGTACGAACAGTATTTACAGGAAGAGATCAACATCGAAAGGAAGAAGAGGATTCCAGACTCACGAGTCCACTGCTGCATATATTTTATTCCTCCTACTGGACACTGGTGAGACACACACACACACACACACACACACACACAAACACATTACATTTAAACTCAAACAAATACCAAACATAGGTTTTTGTTATTGTTACATTATGTTTGCTTAGATAGCAGGGCCTTGTTGATATGATAATCGATTTTTACAAAGCTCATCGTTCTGAAAAGCGAGATGTGCTCTGATTGGCCAGCTATCCAGTGCGTTGTGATTGGCCGAATACCTCAAGCGTGTGATGGCATGCCGTGTCCCGGCGCGACGAGACAAAACCAATAAAACCCATGACAAATGAGGTATTTGTAGCATCCAGTGGGGACATATTTACTGATTATAATGACTTATACTGTCTTTTTACGCATTGCGTTGCATCGCGCCGCGACTCACTAGATTCGTTCAAAAACGCACTTTCATTCATGAATGAAACTCGACTGTGTTTGCTTTTAGAGATGCGCAGCGGCTCAGCTGTTACTATATTTGGAACTATTTTCGTTGATGCAATATATACAATAAGACAATAAGAATGTTTGCGGGAGCGTGACACACACGTTGCGGGAGTGGGCGGTAATGCTCAGAAATTTAGGGGGAGCGGGCTTAAGAAAACTGTCCCGCTCAGGGCTCTAGGCTGCGCGTCGACACTCACGTTTTTTTTTCGCGCTCCCCCATCTCCACCCCCAATCATTAGTGCCGCTTGTTCGGTCTTTGACAGAACATATAGCACAATTTTTTTAAATAGCGCCATAAACAAAATGTATTTCAAATTTAATTCAAGCACTTTCACGGACCTATATTTGTTTTCAAGTAGCTACTTTCCAGACCTTGAATCCATATATCTGAAATTCAAGTACTTTCAAGAAGCGTGGGAACCGTTTATAATATAGGCATAACATAATATAATATAATATCAAAACAAACTGAAGCATTTAAACTCATAGAAGAGAATAGAAAACAAACCGAAGCATTTAAACTGAGATCTGCAAGTTAAATATTTTCAAAGGAAAAAAAAACGTGAACGTGAATTCTTCTATAGCTATCTAAACATCCCTGTGAAGTAGTTTGCACAATACACCTGTGTGTGACTGTAAATGTCTCTGAGTTTTGTTACCGTTCTGTGCCCATCATCCGCTATTTCCAGCACTTAATCAAGCCACTCTTCTACACGAGGACGTTTTATTTCACATCATTGCGTTTGCGTTTGCTCTCGATTTGAGCTATTTCGTCCGCAACCACTGAAGTATTCGGGTTCTACAGCAACTCATTTGGCGTACATCATTCTCTTTCTATGAAACCTGTAAACCGCATTCACCGGTTCTAACTCTATAGCGACATCAACTTTATAGTGGTTTACCCGATCATTGCAATTCTTTCGTTTTTATTAGAATACAATCAAATGGCTTTCCCAACTCATTTTTGCGTGTGCGCGGCACATTATTTCTTCAGCTTAGAGGGAACATTGGTCACTATTATGTAATATTAATGCTCAGATTAACGTAAAATGCAAGCTCATTAAACTTGGATCCTCAAATAAACCATCATTTATACAATTTACTATATTATGTTTTAAGAAAAGTCGTCAAAAAGTCCTGAACCTAAAGTTTTTTTAGCCTACAGTGTAGGCCCTATTTACACTTTTTTATTATTATCTGCTTTGGATGATCCAATACAAGTAAAAGTGGTACAAAACGTTTTGGACCACCATCTTGGAAACTATATTGGACCACATTATTAGTATAACATACTAATCCATCTTAATGCATCCTGGTAAACAGCAATTAGCCACCTACTCTGTCAATCCACCAATGCAAGTTTTGCACTAATGTGCGGTTTTGTTAAGGTTTTTTTTTTTTTTTTTTTTGCATTTGGAAGATTTAGTAAATACAGGAACTTGAGCAAAATACTTGTAAATTCTGCTTGGCAAACATGTTTGCAGATAAAAGAAGTGTGTTTAGGAAAAATGGTGCACACATTTTTAAGAAAAAAATGTAATAAATAAACAAAACAAAACTGATGTAGTTAGTAATGAAATTGGAGACCCTTTCCTCACAAACCGATCAGAAGTGGTCACATGAGACACATTACTACCAAGCATAAACGCACCTCTTGTAACAAAAAAATCATCTTAATATCAGGTGTAAATAGGGTCATATATATCCTTTATCCCTCTCTATTTGTCTGCTATAGTTTTCTAACTCACTTGCATAAATGGGAGTCATGCAAACCAGTGTTTGTGTGTGAGTGTGATGGGGCCAGGGGGAAATTACATGTGGTCCTGTGAGTGGGTTCGTTTCCGTTCTCATTTTCTAGGTATATATGTGTATGTGTGTACTGTCTGCACAGGGGAGAGGAAGTTTGGGGGGGCAGGGTTACGTTTTTTAAAGAGGGTATTTCCTTCCACAAGTGTGTGTTTGTGTGTGTGCACACTGTTATTAGACACTGTCTCACAGCTGCTGCATGCTTGTAAGATATCTGAACAGCTGCTTGTCTTGCCACATGTCACATAACATGAGTACACACAGACTGTAGTTCCTGTGTTTGAAATTTTGTCTTGGAAACAGCCCCATTCACCTCAAGAGTATAGGGGAAATGCATAGTGGGAAATATGGGTGGAGCCAAAGGGGCATTGGGCCCACTGGTGATGGTAGCGGAAGGGTTTTAGCCAAACACAAAACTTTAAATTGTTTGTTCATGTGGTGCCATCAGCCAGTCAGTGTTCATGGACATAGCTGTCATATTTCATATTTCATTTGCAGAATGTTAATGTACATATAGCTGTGCATTTTTTTTTCAGTTGGTTGCTGTGCCATAATTCCACAGTGAGGAAGTTCTATGCTTTGAAAAATGCAGTCTGAATATATCAGCAGTGGGATGGTCTAGCATGTAAAATTAGATGTTTTTATTTAAGTTTCAAGACCACAATACCACTGTCAGCATTTGGCTCTTTACTTTTAAATCATCATGTTTTCAGAAAAGTAGAAACGAATTATAAACCCTTTAGTTGTTGATCAAAGCCCAGATTCAGATGTCAGCACTGGCTGCAAATTTGCCATAAGGTACATTCTTGAACATTTCACACAGACCCTTTGAGACCTTGTGGAAACTTTTATAATCTCATTAGTGGATGTCGCACTCTGGTGGCTAGCCATCTCCATGTAGTTTTGTGGGAAACAGGAAGTAAAACAAGAAGTGTCCACCACAAATGGTGACTCCTTCCTCTATGAAAGAAAGTTGAGACCCACAGATGGGGGTAGGTGATTAAAATATCAAATTGGCTTTTCCCATGCCAGGGCTTGTGCAAGTTATGTGCATCTGATGATGTATTAAGTTTCCTTTCAAATACACACGAGTAAATAAACTGAAGTAAATTACACAAGGAAAATGACCACCCTAAGTGAAATAGGGTACTGTCTACAACCCATTGGGCATTAAATATGAATTAGAATGTCAGGAAGATGATTTTACTTCAGCTCATTTTGTTGGTTAAACAAAATGGTTAAACAGATGACTTTCTTATGGGAAATACTGTGTTCACAATGATCTATTAATCTATTAAGTTAATTTATTAAATGTAATAATAAAAAAAAAATTACCTTTGTTCTGACCTACCAAAGATTTGTAATTAATACCATCAAATGTTTCTGTAAATAGCCCATATGCAGTGTGTTTCATAGCATGTTCTTTAATGATAATTAAAACTGAAAAATAAAATCTTTGATTAAAATTAAAATAAAATGGAAAAATAAAATCTTATAAAATCTTTATAACTTTATAAGTTATCAAATAAATTTATCACATGAAGACCTAAGAGGCAAAAACCTCTAAGTCCCTCTGAGATTTTTTTTTTAAATGAATATTTTTTATGAGGCTCCTATGAAAATAACATTGGGAATTTTTGAAAATAAGGCATTCATTAACGGACTAATAACCTTAAATTTAAGTAAAGTTACTAAAGTTAAATTACTGAACCAACACATAGGAGCCTGATAAAAAATGCTTATTTGAAAGAAAGAAAAAAATCAGATGAACTTAGAGGTTTTTTTCATCTGAAGTCTTCATATATAATACAAAAACATTATATATTACAGACCCTTCATTTCTTTGTAAGTGGGCAAACTTACAAAATCAGCAGGGGAACAAATAAATATTTTCCCCACTGTACAAGTAATATATTATATGTAAAACAATGTACAGTTTTGTAAATACATTGTTTACTATCTCAATTTAAACTCAAGGATTTGAGTTTATTCACTTCTGTATGCCACATAGATACAGCTTCTAATTCAAATATTGCACCCTAGACACATTTCTGTATGTATGTGCTTAAGCATATACAAAACCACAAATGTGTTACAGTTTTGTGGATTTACTAATGCACTATATTTTGTCACTGTGTGGTTATATAATGGTTATATATTCAAATAGGCATGTAATCATCGATGCACGTAATTCCTCACAGGGCTTTTTGTTTATGCACGTGTATATTTTGCGTGTTATAGCACTCAGCGAAATATTTAAAGCCCTGTAGCTTTGCAGTCCTCACCATGTGATAGTTTTGTAAGCCCAGATTGTGACATCTTTTTGTCCTGGGGACTAAGAGGCTCTGTGCATGTTCATTCTAGTTTGTTAAAAAAGGCCAAATGCAGTGTGTTATGTGAGCTGAGTGACCCGGATATCTGGCCATTAAAGATGTCAGTGCTACTTGTTTGTGCCTTGTGGTTGTGGATGCAGTACACACTCCAAATAAACACTCCACAAAGCAGACTTAAATACACATGCTGGCTGGTTGTGTTTTCTAGTATAAGTAATGCAAAGTCACAAGCACTGAAGAAAGTTCAACATATCCTTAAGGGCATAGTTCACCCAAAAATGTACAGTGCATTTAGTTATATTTTCTTACCCCATGTTGTTCCAAACTATGATTTTTGTTCTGCTACAGACCACAAAATTTATGTATTTATTTTTATTTTTTTTCCTTTTTTATACTTTCTGCTATAAGATATAAAAATAAGAATTATATTAGGGTGAATAAATAATGACATGTATATTTGTTCCATTTTTGTAACCCTTTTACCTTCTGTAATAAATTCTCCATATTGGTCAATCATTCGATGCCTTGATTATTTGTGCTGCACCTACAATATTAGAATGTGATGCTTAAGTTTGAAGCAACTGCTACACTGTGTTGTTTTAAATGTTATTGAATAGAGACCATTCTATTTAACACTTTACTTGGTTTTTAATTAATCCATTTTGGGTCTCACTGCATTGCTGTCTTCTCTGTTTTAGTCTGCGGCCAATTGACATTGAGTTTATGAGACACCTAAGTAAAGTGGTGAACATCGTTCCTGTTATCGCCAAGGCAGACACACTCACCCTGGAGGAGAGAGATTTCTTCAAACAGAAGGTACTGTAAGCAATTAATCTCTCAGCTTGTAGATAATGAATCTCTTCCAACCATATGATGAGAGTTTTTATTAGATCTTTTGATTCTTCACCTTGTAAAATTATTTTTCATCTTGTCTGTATCAGTCACCTAAGGTCATAATAGAACGACAAAAATAATTTATTTGAGAGCATCTGGCATGTTTGCCATTAATTTGAAGATAGTTTGCCTCACTCATCCAGAGGCTACACCAGTTGAACAATGATTTATTTTTTCAAGTATTTAACCTCAATACAAACTGCCATCACACAATGTCTGTGGAAATCTCTTTGTGTAAATATCTGTGGGAATCGCCTTCCTGATGGTGTGAATTGGTGCAAAACTGTTTCTTTATGGGCATTTCTCATGGCATTTCTTAAACTTCTGTAACAGTAGCAGACTAAACTGAAGTTGAAACAGAAGTTGGTCATTAGGGTTGGGTCTATGGCTGACAGTCATCACGATGTTGAACCGGCATCGTGATCTCCCCCCCCATACCCCCCACAATCCGCCGCATCCCAATTCCGTGTTCGGAAAGGAAATTAAGTGTACTACGGAACCCCTAAATGGAATAAATAGCCTACGAGATGGGAGGATAAAAAAAAGATTTCAATACTTTCTCTTGCAATTATATCGTTGGGTAATTACTGTATATAAATTGCGGGCATCAGGGAGCCGCTACTAATATGCAGGGCATTGAAACCGCTATCGAATGCGTGCTCTCATTTTACTTTCACTTTCAATTTCGAGATTCGCGATCACACGATGCTACACTATGCTACACCTACCGCACATTTTACAAGATTAGATATTTGTCAGTGGTGCTCAGTATCTGCAAATCATTCGCCATTGTCCTATCAGTCATCTCTCCTTACTCTGTGTATGTGGTAAGTGAACTTTCATGTACTGTAATGTAACAGTCTACCGCTAGCAAGCGGCTAACCATGTACCTTTAGTGACGCTGTATAACGCGTTATTTGTTTTCCGTGCCTTTCTGCAAACGGATTCACGCTTCGGGCACACCCCCTAACCCCGCCCCCCGATGTCATCGTCCATCACAATGTTTCACTGTAGACATCGCCCAACCTTATTGGTCATGCGGATTCGCTGTGTTGACCAACAGAAAACTGCTTGGCTTGAAAGTGACTTCTGTGTGAGCTGTGCTTCATTACATTTGAAAGTAATTTCTATAACCGCCCATAATTTGTAGAATCAATATGGGAAATATCTTTAATCCTGCTTGGACATTCTTAATTATGCAGGGAAAGTCTTTTATCTGGTTGAGTAATTTTATGTTGAATCTTTTTTGGGTTCACGGGCCGGTGAGGCACTTTGTGTTTTATTTGACCTCAACTTAAGTTGTAACTTGGCAGTACTTCACAGGCTGGAGGCAGTTCACAGGATAGATCCAGCAGTGGGCAGCTAGAGTTGGTACATGGAGGTTTGCCATAAAAAAGCAGCACATACATGTGAATCGATGTCTTATCCCTTTAATGTACAGCAATAGCCGGCTGTCCAGCAGTAAGAAGAGATCATAAAGACTGCACGTATCAAGCTCTTTTTATGTTCATTTTCATATAAGTAATTAAAGAGTGACTGAAGAGATTCAGCTGCATGTATTATTTGTATTATTACTTCATGTTTTTATTCAATGAACATGTTTGCATCGTGCTCTTGTTGTGGGTGAAGGCAACTTTATCCTTCTCATACTTCACCTTGCAAAACATCTATTGATTTTACGTGTCTAAAAGCTGCCAGAGGAAACTCAGTGGGTGTCCAAGCTACTGTTTCCTCCTAACATTTGCTTTACCTGCCAAACAGAACAAACCCCAGGCTCTAGAAGCCTTTCGGGCTTGTACATAACTGTTATGTTTGGCTGTGTGGTCAGCGCACAATCCTTAGATCCTTTTCCTCCACCCCACAAGGTCTTTGACATGACAGGAGAGTAGGGTGACACTATTTTCAACCTCGTGAACATTGATGTGGAGTTGCTGAATTTGTCTGGTTTATTTGCTTTAATGTTTAATGACATCACCCACATGGAAGCAGAGAATGAAAACAAACACCGACTCAGAGTGGATTCAGTGAAGGGTGTAGTTTTGATTCGTCGTCATTCATTAAAGCATCCCGCTGGCTAAAAGCTCTCTCACTGTATTCTTTTCATTATGCTCCCAATGGCCAGTTTAAATCTTCACTGCCAGAGGTCTGAAGTCGGATTACGATTATTCAATCTGACATCTGAAAAGCACGGTGACCCTTACAGTGCAGAATATGTCATTAAAGGAAAAGTTTACCCAAAAATGAAATAAATTCTGTCATGCTTCTAGTTCCAAACTTATGACTGACAAAATGACTAAAAAACAAACTGCCACTCACATTCATTTATGGAAAAAGTCTAAATGGTTCATTTACAAATAGGACTAATTCATTATCAAACTCACTGTGACATTTTCGTCTGTACATAACACAAAGTTACTGTATAGCTTCTGATGATTTGAAATATATAGAGTTGAATGAACAATTTTTATGATGCTTTTCCATCGTTTTTAAGCTTGAAAGCTCCAGTCTCCATTAATTGCATGGAAAAGGGCAACCAGTACATTCTTTAATATTTATTCTGTGTTTGATAAAAGAAAGTCAGTCATGAAGTTTAGTAAGAACATTATTTTTTTTTTAAACGACCTAATGTTCTGTGGATGCACACTCTATGCACACTCTATGCAGTGTGCACATATTCTCCAAAGATGAACCAGGAACTAAACACTGTTTCATGGATTCGTTCTGGTGTGTGTGTTTGTGCAGATAAGAGCGGACTTGCGAGCCAATGAAATTGATGTCTATCCTCAAAAAGAGTTTGATGAGGATGCAGAGGACAGAATTGTTAATGAGAAGATCAGGGTATGTCCACTTGTCACTTTTTATCTCTATAACTCAATCACTGATACTGTGGTATTTGTTAAAAAGAGATTGTTCATGTACATGAAGTGGGCTTTTATGTCTTCTTTTTCTGCCTTACTGTATATTGTAATTCCAAGTGTTGCTTTTGTATATTGAATGTTTTCGTGTGATCTCTGTTTTAGGAGATGATCCCATTTGCTGTGGTGGGAAGTGATCAAGAATATCAGGTCAACGGAAAAAGACTTCTGGGCAGGAAAACAAGATGGGGGACAGTAGAAGGTAGTGCACACACAAACATTCAGCTTCTCTCACAACACTTTCCTTCAATTTGACTTTTTCTTGCCCAAAATCACATCTGCAAATCGTCTCTGGCAGTGAGCTTTGTTGTTGGATTGGAGTCCTGTGCTTTTTTTCTTCATTTAAAAACATTTGGTTGTGTGTAAGGAATTGTATGTACTTGTGTCCACATCATCCTACATTGCTTTGATTGTTTTACTGTATTTAAACAGATTTTCAAGATTTAAACAGCCAAACTAAACTTTTAAAAGAGCAACATCACATAACTGTGATGGACTCTATACTTGAACTTTACTTAAGTATACTTACTAAAATAAACTTGAAGTATGCTACCTTTTGGTAAGGGTAGAGACCTGCACGGGACGGATTTTTCAGTCCCGCTCCCGCAGAAATATATCTTATCTGGTCCCTGCTCCCGCCCGCGACATTCATGTTTTGTCCAGCTCCCGCCCGCATAAAAGTAATAGATATAGATTTTTTTCAGTACATCGAAGAAATTTACATGAAATGGTTCTGTAACATCTCCTAAGCTCCACAACATCCCAGCATAAACGCTCCCGATAAAATATTTGTTATTTAGGCTAAGCATCACCATTCACAATCACAGACCACTGTTATTTTTAACAGAAAAGCAAGCATGGGCTGCTGCGTGCATGGTTTGGCATGGCAGAATGCGAGCAGCGCGCTTCCTTTATTACTAAAAGCTGACATCTCAGTTAATCGCGATCCCATAATGCTCTGTTATAACACAATAAATATATGCACAATGAATCTTTCATAGTGTCTACACTTCGTGTGTTAAAATGAGAGGATTCGTGAGCACGCAATTTCAGCACTGCGGTGAGTAGATTCTAACTTAATCACCTCTGATTGGCCATTGCGTTCCAGAAATCAACAGCTGAGTCTGTGATTGGCTACATTGCGCAAACTTTTAAACACGTGTTATAAATAGAAACTATGCCTAGCTTGCACGTTAATCATTTTAATGTTAATATTAGTTGTTCTTTTTGCTTTTGTGCAACAGATAAATAACAATTTATATGTTTTAGACATTTTATGTTTAGATCATTTCTATTTTGCGGGAGTCCCGCGAATCATTTTATTCTCCCGCATCCCGCACACACACGAGTCTCTTCCCGCCCGCACCCGCACTCGCCCATCAAGAGTTGTCCCGCGCCGCACCCTGTTGCGTTGGGTGCAGGTCTCTACTCTACAGTACATTATGGAGCGTTTAACTGTTTAATGCCATTATGTTTTTCATGTTGTACACAAAATAGAAACAAGTATTTAATTCTGTTCTTTGATATTTAAAATTTGATAAAATTATTTTAGAGCATTAGAAAATTAAATATGTAATTAATGCACTTTAGGAAATATAAATTATTTTCAAATTTTGAAAACTTTATTTTATAGCAGATTCAACCTTGACATTTGTTTGTCTTGAGGCATGATGTGAGAGGAACAGGATGGAACTAAATTTAATTGCAAAATATATTAAATGTAATTGCTGTATAATTAAGGTAATTGCTAAACGTAAAGCCCTAATACACAAATTCACATATCTATCTGGTGTTTGTGTCTACAGTATGGGACCTGGTTTCTATTCTTGTTGCCAAGAGCAAATCAAATTCCTATTCCTGATTCACCCAACAGGAATAGATAGCATAAGGACTAAATCAATGTACCATGCAAACTACTCCTCCTCATAGAAAGTCTGTGGCCAAAACTAATAAGAAAACTCAACCTTGCATGGACAGGAGGGTGGTAGAAGTTTATTGGTTATAGGTAGAACCAATCTAATAGCATTAATCTGTGAAGAGTGTTGACAGATTAACAATAGAAGTACTCATTTTCACCCTTACATGTTAGTTTAACTTCCACATTGGTTATAGGTAGAACCAATCTAATAGCATTAATCTGTGAAGAGTGTTGACAGATTAACAATAGAAGTACTCATTTTCCCCCTTACATGTTAGTTTAACTTCCACTAATCAATAAAAAAAAAAAAAAAATAGTTTGATTCATTTGGCTGTGATAATTTACCACACTCAAATGGAACAAGTTCAAATTAGATTTCATTTCCTTTTATCAATGCAATTGCTCACTCTCACAGTGGCCTATTTTAAATGTTATGTTACTTTAAGAAGCATTTTGCGGCTCAAATACTCTGTGTTGTCTGATACAGTACTGCCATCTAGTGGCAATAAGATGCTACTACACTTCAAGCACAATAGCAAATATAGAAACAGCCGGTGACAGACTGTTTATACAATAATTTTTTTAATGACAAAACTACTCTCTAAAACCACATCATTATCTTTTTTTATTATTTTCGCAGTTGAGAACACCGCACACTGCGAGTTTGCCTACTTGCGGGACCTGCTCATCAGGTATTCAATGATTCAACATTTACATTTTATATAGAGTGTTTGTATAAAAAAAACGACAGTTCACTTGTTAATAAATACATTTTAATATAAGTGTTCTCGATCTATATGTTTTCTAGAACTCATATGCAGAACATCAAAGATATCACAAGCAGCATCCATTACGAGATGTACCGCGTACGCAGACTCAATGAGAATAACACGCAACCAAACGGGCAGACAGCAATCCACGCTAATAGTGTACCTGAGCATGAAGTCCTCTCCCATGAGATGTAGATGTCTGTCTGACCATCCACCCATCCATCAATCAGTCCGTCCATCTCTCTTCTTTTTTTTCAATCCCTCAATTTTCAATAGTCTCTTCCTCGGTTTATTCTGACTGGCTGTGTCTGTTGACTATTGTTTTTTAACACCAAAAAAATATTTCCGATCTGTGGATAATGAAACTTTAAGCGTGTAGCAAAATGTGATGTTCTGTAATGAGAGTTTCATTAAAGATGTGTTACTAGCTCTGCAAAATGACATCTGTCAGAAGTTCAACATACTTAACATGCTTAAAGCTCTCTCACTTAATCATTACAAATAAGTGGTTAAATTGCAACTTGAATAAAATCCTACTTTATGGCTATTGGGTATTAAAATGAAGGGCTCTAAAGCATAAAAATCCAAATAAATCATGTTTTTCACTATTTAAAAATATAATGAAACAAAGACAAGTGGAAAAGGATCCATAGTATATTACAGGACTTCTGACTGTGTAGTCACACACTTTTAGGCAAGAGTTTTGATGTTGATTAAAGCGTTGTAAGAGTAACATTTTAGTTGAGTATAACCATAGTGCAGTTTTAGTGTCCCCCGTTTTGTAGTGACTTTGCCCTGTGTGGTATCTTTACCAATCTGTAAAATTCTCATGTACTTGTTGCCATGCCATGTTTTCTTTTTTTCAAGCATTGTTCATTTATTTTGTCATAATAATTATTGTTGTGCTTTTTAATTGTAAAGGCCTTGACATTAATTGTTCTTTTTGTTTTTTATTTGTAAAGTGTTATGTATTTATATGCAGCATCATGTTACCCAAATGTTATAGTGTGGCCTTTGTAGGTCAAATGTTTAGATTTCCAGAATAGCACCACGGTGACCCAAAGCACCTGTACTTAACCTTTTTTTTTTTCCTCTTTTTTTTTTTTTTTGCAACTGTCAGTATTTACTAAAGCAAGTCCTGAGCCATTCTGTTCTCTATCTATATTCTATAATATACATGTGACCATGATTTGTTGATAGATGTATTTCATGTTGTCAGTGGAAAATTATGCAGTTGACTCCCGCAAATGTTTTTGGACACTTAAGCCACACTTAAAAATGCATGGATGTCTTTGCATTATATCCAGTAGCAAAATATCAAAACACATGGCATCTCAAGCACGCTAATTTATAAAGGTTTTTCTTTCCTCGAATAAAGTGTTAGAACACTTATAAAATGTTAATGGAGCATGTTATTGTGATGAACTAATATACATGTGAACAAGAGGGGAGCAGATTTTATACATTCACTAAATCTGACCTTGAGATCTGTTATTTAAAAGTAATTACAGAAATAGGTAAGAAATGTGAAGTTTTGCCATTGCAATTTAGTTAAATGTTTTGGATTTGACAGTTCATACATTTTTATGTGTGACTAAAGTGTCCAAAATTGTACAAATATTTTCTGGGCTAATATTTGAACAATATGGGAGAAGTTGATATATGCTAGCCATTTTTAATATATGAGACATATACTAACCATTTGTCTATTTAAAGGAATAGTTCTGACCATGTGGATGCCATTTATATCTTAGCCTATTTGCAGATGACCTGTCACTTATTTTTCTTATGTACAGTTGTTGTTTTTTACCAAAAGATTATGCATACTGATTAAAAATGGGGACAGTTTTGATTCTAGTCTCAGGTTCCACAATCCCACCCAGTGCTGCCTAATGATTTACATAACAATTGAAAAAAATGACATGGTTGTCTCAGTCCTGGCTGTCAGAAAATTCTTGGTGTCAATCATTTTATTTTGCAGCCATAATAAAGGGAAACCACATCCTAATCTCAAAGACTTATAATGTTCCATTCAACCAATATTGAGCAATGTCATGTCCCGAATGGCCAGAAATATGATTAAAACAGATTATTTTATGAATATTGTACACCCATTGTATTTTGTTGTAGTATAAGGTAAGAATTATCTTATTATTGTAGATTTGGAAAAAATAAAGATTGCTATTTTTTATTGTCGTCTAATTTTGTATCTGATTATTTCCTAGTCTTAACAATTATTTATTTTCAGGCACTTCGGGTTGTAGGAGAAAATACATTACACATTATAGCTAAATTATAGCTGCATTAAGAGACTGCTGGGCTTGTGATTTGTTCTGCATATCATCACATGTTGATAAGTTTATGAATCAGAAGGTAAATTATCTTATTATTGTAGATTTGGAAAAAATAAAGATTGCTATTTTTTATTGTCGTCTAATTTTGTATCTGATTATTTCCTAGTCTTAACAATTATTTATTTTCAGGCACTTCAGGTTGTAGGAGAAAATACATTACACATTATAGCTAAATTATAGCTGCAGTAAGAGACTGCTGGGCTTGTGATTTGTTCTGCATATCATCACATGTTGATAAAAGTTTATGAATCAGAAGGTAATATGTTCCTTGTAAGGTCTCTGATGTAATGATCATGAGAAAATTATGCTAAACCCAATATAAAAATACTATAGTGAAAATATAATCTTTAAAACAAAGAGATGAAACAGACCATATTCTGTACAGAAGCCTAATGAAAAAGGGAAACATTTATTCAGCACTTTATTTATCCAGCTATGGAAATAATCAAAATGTCATTTCACCAGGAGCCTCCAGCAGCGCGAGAGAGAAATTGATAGTAAATGAAGTCATTTGTATCCTTGGGCATGTCTGTATATTCAGTAAGTTACAAGAAAGTGGAAAATAAGTTATTAAAATGTTATTTCAGTAGTGTCTGGCAATACTTTTGAGATTGCATATTTGATATTTATATTGTATATAAATGTCTCTATAAATCTTGAGTATAGCTCCCCTTCAGGAACTCGAGCTGCATCGAGAGTCGCTTTGGGAACGCCCCTGCGTGACCGCGTTCTGAAGCACGTGTAAAATCAATCCAATGGAGCAGCGAGACGTCACGAGCGGGGTGACGTGAGCGCCAGGAAGTATAAAAGCGCATCCGGCAGAGCACAAGTTAGCTTCTGCTCTTCAGTAGCGCTCTGTGTATGTGCCAGTCTATTTACTGTTGTCTGTCAGTCCACAAGCATTCAAAAGAATATGTCAAAGTCTAAATTAATATCTATGGCGAGCAAACGGCATTACAGACGTTGTGTGCCTCCCTGCCCACACTATCTGGCAGCGGGGGATACACACAATCTGTGTGTTGTTTGTTTAGGAGCGGAGCATGCACGGTCAGCTTTCGAGGAGCTGATTGTTCCCAAAGCGAATCTCGACGCAGCGTCTCGTTCCCTCGGGGAACCATGGTTACATACGTAACCTAGAGACGTTCTTGAGTATAGATTATTGAGTATAGAAATCTAAATATAATTGTAGATACATTTTCCTTTCATTTGGATACAGAGAACTCAGACAAGACAGTAAGTTTGAACTCAAAGCAGTGATTATTTACAGCAGGGTTGAATGAAGACAACATATCAGGTGAGCAGGGATTGAAATTAACTTTTTCACTCACCAGCCAATTTGGCTACTAAATTTTTAAGTTACCGGCCATTCAT